AATAATTGTAACGTCAAAAATAATTTAAATAAATAATAATAATAGTAAATAAATAAAATAAAAAATAATTATAGTATTTATATAAAAAAAAAATTAAAAAAAAAAATTAAAAAAAAAATTAAGTCAACCAGGATCTTATTTTAATCAGATTGCAGATCAGCATGACCAGAATACATAAAAGATGTTATTAGGTCGAAAACGTATTTTAACTATATACTTCTGTGTAGACCCAATTGGATTAGTATGATTTATCATAAACTGAAAGTTGTTATTTTTGCAGCACACAACAGTATTCGTTGTATGAAAAATTAAATACACTAATACGCATGTGCAGTGATTGTTATTGTACATGTTAAAACAAAAACAATCAGTGCGCACGCGTATTAGACATTCCAACAAAACTCGGATATGAGCTACTGAAACAGTGTTTCCGGGTCACATGATAAATCATAGCCCAATGTATTCAAATAACAAACACCAATAATCAAAATTACATGTTTTACATCTTTAATGTATATTCTGTGGGGTTTAGAGGCAGAAAATGGTTTATGTAATGGTTTAATATTAGTTACCTCCGCTCTTTCCGCTCTCTTCTCCTTTCTTCTTTTTTCTGTTGTACCTTTTTCTCTTGTTTCACTTTTTGTTTCTCTTCCTTCTTTCGTTGTTTCTTTTTTTCTATCCGTTTTGCCCTTTCACCTTCGCTGTATTCACCATCATCAGTTAAATCAGACAACTCACTGCTGTGGACGCTGCTAACTTCACTGGCGGCGCTCACAGTACTAACGTAACTACGACGCCTACGAAACAAACACATCAAGGTTTGTAATTATTTTATTATGGTATGATGGGATGTATCGGAGTGTTTGGCGACAATTTATTTCATATACATTCAGTATAAAACGAATATAAAGAATACGACTTAAAAAAGACTCATTTATACGCTGTTTTAAAATTCAAGCAACCCAAAACCGAAACATCTCAGGCTCACACAATACAACTGATTTACCTTCTTCGTTCCCGCCTCCTTTCTCGTTTTTCTTGTTTCCGTTTCTGCTCTTTTTGTTCCATTTTTATCTCTTTCTTTTGTTCTTTCAACTTCTTTTTCTTTTCTTCCTTTCGTTTGCGCCTTTCGCCTTCGCTGAAATCGCCAGAAACACTGGACACATCGCTGCTATGCACGCTTGAAACGTCTTCACTTCGGACCGCGCTGACTGGTCTCTCCGAACTACTGCTACTGTAATACCGCCCTCTAAGTACAATAAACACATCACTTTAGACAATATGACGATTCATAATATAATGATTTTTTTCTAATGGTACTGGTAATTATACTAGTTACTAGTATTCTCAGAGAAATTTGTCTTTTCCGTGTTCTCTTCCCTCACACTCATGTTATGCGTTTTGCTCACATTTAGGCTGAGCGCTTAATAGACCTCGATGAGTAAACTTTCACCTCAAGTTAATTAACTTTTAACCTTTCAAGGACAACTTTTCTATAAATAATCACCGTTAACAAAATAAAAATGTTGATCAAGAAAACGCAAAATGTATATAAAAAAAGGAAAAAAAATATGGCATTACCGTCGTCGCTCTCTATCTTTCCGCCGTTCTCTCTTACGTTCCCTTTTCTCCTGCTTCTCTTTGCGTTTCTCCGCTCTCTTTACTTCCCGTATCTCCCTGCGCTGTTCTATTTTCTGCTCTTGTTTCTTCTCCATTTTCTCCTGCATCTTCTTCAGCTTTTTTTCCTGTTTCATGCGTTTGATCTCACTTTCGCTAAAATCGCCATGGATACTTGACAACTCGCTGCTATGGACGCTACTAGCTGCACTGGCAAGGCTTACAACCGAACTTCTTGAGGACGAACTGTATTGATAGGAAGTTACGTAATGTGTTAATATAACTCGTAATATATTTATAATGCCACACGATTGAGTGGATTGAATCGTATTTGGTTTATATAATTTGACACACACGATTTTATTGTTATGACACTTTAATATTTTTTTGTAAAACTATATCCTTACCTGTACGAATCACTGCTATAATAGTCTACAAAATAATTATGAAAACAAGTTTAATTATATAACGCACAGAATGAAATATCACTGCACAAAAAAACTCAAATTGACGTAGGAATAAAATAATTCAACGTTTTCATTGACAATACCACGAGAGGGCGTACGCACAGATCTTATAGATCAATTTTAAATTTTGAACTTAGAAAACTATTCATCGTAACAATATTCAATTTCAATTTGACTAATGTGATAAATGCATATTATATTGGACATACAATTGCGATAAATCATACAAAATATGAAAATATATAAAAACAAGATGAATTCGTCGTGCAACAGCAAAGTGCGCCACCACAGTTAGTGTACAATAGTGCGAAAACTGCAATACCACATTATAAACAGTTAAAGCAACCACCTGTGAAAACGAAAGGTGAATGTTAATTGTGTTAGTTACCACCGATGGCGTAACAACTGAAAATGTAGAATGATGTGTTGATGTATTTCATACTCTGTGATTTCAATTGCTTTGACATGTAGTGAAATGACGCTGTTAAAACTTGAAAAACAAGATGGTCCCTTTTTTTGAAAATGAGAAAAATTAGATTGATGTGACTGCCGCCACCAACGGCATGTTTATGATCGAACCTCTCATGGAAAACGATGTGGATGATTCTCGTGTCAAACCTGCAAATAAAAAACCCAAAATGGCATTATACGAAATTCCATGGTATATAGTCCGCTGTCGCTTTACACGCCCATTAGTTTTTTTTTAATATTGTATCTGAGATTAGAATATTACAATGTTCAAGCATGGAATAGGAGCCAACTGCATGCATTACAATGGTTATTGAAAGTTGTTAAAATAACGAAGATATGACCCTGCTACCGAAGCGCATACGAGCATCTAATATTGACGTTTTCAAGGGTTATATTTTTGGGCAATAACATTTATTAAATTTTGAATGATTGAAATGTTGTGTACGCATATAAGTATGTACCATGCCGCCGGCCTCTGCCTCGGCCTCTGCCTCGGCCTCTTCGACGTCGCCCCCGTCTACTGTGGTCGCTATCGTCATCACTGCTACTGGGATCGTCTGAAAATTGAAATATATTATTTTTGGGGGTTAGTGAAACAGATCGATGGATAGTTCAATACCTTTAGGTGGCATGCGATAAGAGACGATCAGAAATAGTATAGTATCAAGATACGTAATAATAAAAGTATAGTCATTTGAAAATATAAGGGAAAATGGTATGCTTAATCAAGCATGTACATATACCATGTCGTCGTCGACCTTTTCGCCTTCGCCCCCGTCTACTCTGGTCACTATCGTCATTACTGCTACTGTAATCGTCTGAAAATTTAAATATATCATTTCGGGGAGATGTGAAACAGATAGATAAATATTTTAGGTAGATATATTACCTTATAAGGTGGCATGCGATAGGAGACGATGAGAAACAGTATAGCATCAAAACACGTAATAATAAAAGTATAGTAATTTAAAAATTAGGAATAAAGAGGACATGCTTAATCTAACATGTATATATGTTTTTTTTTATTTACCATGCCGTCGTCGACCTTTTCGCCTTCGCCTCCGTCTACTGTGGTCACTATCGTCATCACTGCTACTATAATCGTCTGAAAATTGAAATATTCTATTTTTGAGATATAGTTTAGGTGCATGGTTCAAGGGGCCATGCGATTCGATAGGGTATTAGATAATTAAAAGTACAATTTCGAGGAAATAATAAAATTATAGTAGTATATTTAATCATTTAAATTGGAAAATTGGCATGCTTAATCAGATGCTTATACATATATTTACATACCATCGCGTCGCCGACCTCTCCGCCCTCGCCTCCGTCTGCCGTGGTCACTATAATCATCACTGTAGCTGCCTTCACCATCGCTGTAGCTATCTCGACGCCTGCCTCGTCGGCGACGCCTCCCACCTTTACCACCTCGTCGTCTTCCACCATGACGTGAACTCGAAGCATCGCTGAAATCATCTTCATCGTCACTGTAGCGTCGGCGCCGACGACCTTTCCGTCTACCACCACCACCACCATCGCGACTGTCCTGTTTATATACGTAAATCAATAGATTTAATATAGTACACGATGCAAACTGCCACTCCTACATTGAATACAGGAAGTGTCACTACTGACCAAAAGACTCGACATTCAGTAATTAGTTTTAATTACATTGGAACTAAACCACTAAAACGCTGAGTCAAAAATAACTTACATCTGAATAATCGTCAGACGAGTAACTGTGACGTCGACGACGGCGGCCGCCTTTACCACCACGTTTTCCGCCACGTCGTCTCCTGCCACCACCTTCACCATCACTGCCATTATCGCTATAACTGTCGCTGTAACTATCGTAGCTTCTACGTCGATGCCGTCTCCGCCGCCTTCCTTCACCACGGCCTCTTCTGGAATCTCCAGAATATGCACTACCTTCGTCATCACTGTAACTGTAATCACGACGACGCCTACCATGGCGGCGCCTTCCAGAATGTCGGCGCCGTGAATGTCCTAAACAGTAGTTATGTCAATTATTGATGACATTGATATGATATTATACCGTACATACTCAATCGGAAATCGTCAAAGTTAAAGCGACTATTTCACCAAGCTGCGCATGCGTATTTAATACCCTGATGAAGACATTAAAACTCTGACAGTTATTCCTACTTGCCCTAGGTATGTTATAAGTCAGCGCTTGACGCTCGCCATCACCGATGTTCAGCCAACAATCCTGTAATCATGCGATTAATGAGTGAGTAAAACAAGTTAGTACACTATGTTGGAATGAATTGACAATGGGGTGACAACGTGACTCCCAATAAAGGTCTAAAGAATTGTGATCAACATGAAATTGACACCGCATGTTTCATTCCTGACAGCTCCTAATGCTTCCATGAAAAATTAGAAGTTATAATGTTATTAGTGTGGTGAAATTTTATGTTAGTCGTAAGTGCGTGGTTATTTCACTTCAAAAAAACACACACACACACACACATGCATATAATAATAAATCCAATGCTTACTTCTACTATCCGCGCTTCCTGAGTCACTATCGTATGATCGTCGTCGTCGACGCCGTCCACCCCCACGCCGTCTACGCCCACCACTTCTGCTTCGACTGCTGTAGTCGGATGAGTCGTCCCTGGTGAAAAAATAATTAATATGATCCGACACATTCGTTTGTAGTATTTAAAATATTCTCGTAATAATAATACAAATAACTAATAATATAAACACAATGATATACTAGTGCGTCACTGGCTTTGTACCTGTGTCTACGGTGTCTGCGTCTTGTAGATCTCTCCCTTGATCGATCACTACCCGAACCAGACGAATAACTCCTTCGACGACGTCTCCGACGCCTTCGCCTATCCCGACTATCATGACTATCGTAACTAGAATCTCGACTACCCCCTCTACTGCCGCTACGTCTTCGGCGATGATGGCGACGTCTTCTGTGGTGGCGATCTCCGCTTCCGACGTCTGTGCCACTGTCGTCGCTAGAGTGGTGTCGACGCCCTCTACGCCTATGTCTTCGACCTATAAGACAGTTGAGGAAGCATGAGCATATACTAGTAGAAATACACGGATCAAAAAAGCCAATGATTTCCGGTCCGTGACTTGAAAGGAGCGAGAGTTAATAGAGTTAATAATAATGGGAAGACGCTGTATAAGAGTGGAGTCATGCCCCACAAACCGTCCCCCGTGTTATGTTAACTTACCGCCACGTGACCCATCTCTACTGTCTTCTGAGTCACTAAAAGACCGCGAGCGACGCCGATGGCGACGATGGCGGCGATGCTGGCGTTCCCCGCTGACGATACTACCACCCATACCACTCTCCAGGCTATCATCACTGTATCTGAAAAGTAAATAACGGAGATCGACAAAATACACTTAGTAGATGTATTGTATTGCATTCTCTTCCGATATTCGCATTGTAACAATATGTTTTCTCCTTATCTGGTAAATATGATACTTTGTGAATTACTCAAATTACTTAAAAGTCTCAAAATGAAACAAGTACCTTCGTCGTCTGTGCCGGACGTGCCTGTCTGAGTCATTATCACCATAATCTTCATAAGCACTGTCTTTAACATCGCCTCGACGTTTTCTTGCTGTGAATAACAAGATTTGTTATAAACAACAAAACTTCCAGCGAACAGTTCACATGGTACTGTACTCACACGCCCGCTAGAGTCAATAGACGTAATGTTTGATGACAACGTGACGTCATCGATTACTCACATTTTTTAAATTCACCGGTATCGCTCTGTACATAAACACCCCTAGAAGTACTATAATCTTCCAATTCTTCGCCTTCGCTGAGACCCAACATTTTTCGCGCAGTTTTGTCGTCTTTTTTAAAATCCTTGTATTCATCTTCAGTAAAGTAGTGATACTTCTTGACGACTTTGCCGCTCTTAGTTCGCACGTACGTCTTGACCCGTCGTTTCGCTGTGAATACAATTACATGATGATAGCTCAGTTATAGTAGCTCATTTGCTGATAGCCAGATCCTGATTTTTTTGGCAAAATATAGTATGAACCTGTGCATAGTTTCATATTGTATATTTGGTATTTGGAGAGGGAAACTAATAATATTAAAACAAACAGAAGCAGGATGTATTTTTTTAATGTTACTCCGAATACGAACTTACGTTCTGCTTTTCGGCGACGTTCTTCTTCTTCTTCCTGTAGTTTTTTCATCGCTGCCTGTGCAATGATTCTTTGTTCCTAGATCGTAAGATTAATTCGCATTATATATTCATCGCAAGTTGGCGTGGGACATTGAAAACGGAAAATTGACAATGGTTAGTATACGCACATGATCGTGTAATTATATAACAGCACTTACCTCCTCGATGACATCTAGAATTCCCCGTATGTACCAGTAACTGTGACGAAATCCGCCGCCGATGCGGAGGTACTTGTGCTGATGCAAATATAAGTAGGCATTGTTAGTAAAAATAATAATATCGATGATAAGTATAAAATTATCAGTTTTCAAAGCTACTTTACATGGCCAGGGTTTTGAGTCGGCAAAATACGGATTATAATATACTGAATACCTTCTCGCACTCTACATGTTCTGTATGTAGTTGACATCTGTAACATTCTTCTGGTCCAAGACGCTCTGTCTGTAATAAATATGTGGCGATTAGTGCAGGGAAGGTTTTATGGGAAAATACGTTAGATCATTATTTACCAGCATACACTCTTGGTATGCAGGCGGGCAGCAAGATGATTGTTGTTTGATGATTTGTCTTCCCTCTGTTTATTCTGTGTTGTAAAATATTTGCATCTACGTAGACTCTTTTCATAGGTCGTCGCCCTCACAGTTTTACGTGGGAGAGCCTTAGTAACTCAGAAAGAGGTTCCTGGGCGATTAACTTGTTTTGCTGCATGTACAGGTAAAGGAAACCAATCTTTAGATAGGGAACATTTTATATTTTTTGTTTCTTTTTAATTTAACCCATCAGTGGGTTCATTTATGATATTGTCAATATACTAAAGTTTTCTTTAGAAGCCTCTTTCTGAGTTCCTCTCCCACAGAACACTGGGTATAATGCTGTGACCTTTCCATGCATATTTTCATAAAAGCATGGATATACTAATTCGAAAATCCTCAGATTCTAACTTCACAGAAACCCCCATCCCAAATACTAATCAGAGAAAGCTTAGAAATGAGTCCGGTGTGTTGAGAGTATTGTAAACATTAAAAATGTATTAGCCTCCCAAAGAAGAATCTTGGTAACTGATATTTGTCTGCTATTTGAGATGTACAATGGGAAAACAATGTGATCCACATTATTGAAGTTTATAATACTTACAGAAAATACATTTGATCTGTGGTTTTCATTCTAATTTATTCCAGGGCACCTTTACCACAAGGTCAATTTAAATCTGATTTTTTGAGATACCATCAGCATCCATGTAACCAAGTTTCATTGAAATGATATGATTAGTACTAATTATGCAAATTAGGTATTAATATGCACGGATATTAACCCAAAACTTATCAGGTCTGCGCATTGTCATATGACATTTATGTATAAGGTTCCATTGAAATGTGATGTTTGGTACTTGAGATATTAGTGGAAAAGCCAAAACTAGAGTAATCTTTATGCAAATTAGGTGATTAATATGCATCGATTTTTATTCAAAACTAATTAGGCATGTGCATATAAAATTTATGTACCAAGTTTCATTGAAATGCAATAAATAGAACTTGAAATAGCGGAAAAGCCAAAATTTCACTAATTATGCAAATTAGGTAATTAATAAGAACGGATATTAACCCAAAACTTATCAGGTCTGTGCATTGTCCTATGACATCTATGTACCAGATTTCATTGAAATATGACGATTAATACTTGAGATATCAGTGGAAAGGCCAAAAAAGACTAATGTTCATGCAAATTAGGTGATAAATATGCACAGGTTTGTATTCAAAACTAGTTAGGCATGTGCATAGTTCTGGAAAATCTATGTACCAAGTTTCATTGAAATGCAAATTATGTAATTAATATACATGGATATTATCCCAGAACTTATAAGATCTGTGCATTGTCCTATGACATCTATGTACCAGGTTTCATTGAGATATCAGTTGAAAAGCCAAAAATGACTAATCATTATCAGTTGAAAAACTACAAATTGACTAATCATTATGCAAATTAGGTAATTTATAGCATGAATGTTTCCAAAAAGTAACCAGTTTTATCAAAATCTGATGAGTAGTTCTTTAAATAGTATCAGTGGAACAGCTAATTGAGCTAATCATGTAAATAAGGTAAATAATAAGCATGGATTTAATCCAAATCATAATAAAATCTGTGCATTAGCTTATAGCATTTAAACATTTCATAACAAACAACACATGGTTCTTAAGATATTAGTAGAACAGTCGGACACACGGACACACACATACAAACACGCATACAGACAATCTAACTGCAAAAACTCCCATTGTGTGCTTCGCATGTATGAATACTCGCCAGAGGACACTTAGAACACTTCAAATTCCAAACTGAATTATAATAAAATTTCGTTAAATTAAAACAGTGTCATTTCTCTCTCGGCATTCCTTATTTGAAGAGTCATGGCTTGAAGTCATTATGATTCGATACAAGTATGTGCATAGGTCTAAATAAGATGGTACTTATACCTTTCTAGGTGTATGTTTTGGTCTCTTGCCAGGAGGTCGTCTCTCGATTGGCGGCTGTGAAACGAAGGTTATATACCTCGTGACTTGTTCACCCCGGGAACTCTAAAAGAAAGCAACACAAAATACAAGTTTATTAGAGATCTCCCTCACCTACAATCGGTTAACACACATACCTAAGGGGGACGATGCAAATACATGTATTTAATCACGTGTTGTATATCATTTATAAACTAGACACGTAGTATGTATACATGATGATGTCATTGTGAGGCAAATAGCTAAATATTAGTCGAGTTCACAAGTAGCATGAACAGACAACAATGAATGTGGTTGTTTGTAATTGAAGGAGATACTAACCATACTATACCACAATTATCAGTGTAGTTTTACATTTTGTCTTTCTCGGGTAACCACACAAAGCCATTAATTCAGGTTGAAGAACTGGCTTCGTAATTTAATAGTGAAGAATGCCATTCTGTTGTAGGTTATGACATTCTAGCTTGGAATCATTATTACGTCTGCCAATCGGCGCGACTAATGGCCCGTCTAATCTCAGACATAATAATGGGTTAACACTTGTAACTATGACAACCACTTTAAAAAACATTATCAAGCAAAAACGGCGTTTAAAAATGGCCGACAACAAGTATGGGTGTTATTATGTGTTGCAAACGATTTGGCAATCTAGTTCGACGCGAATTATATTTTGACGGAGCCATGTTTACTTTTTTAGCAAAATTGTCGAATTTTATCTCAAATCACTTGTATGTTATACTTGCGTGATCAGGCTATTAATGTACTAGTATAATGTTTGAAGATTTGTTTCGTCTTATTCGTGCGTCACATTTAAGTACGTACTTGGAAATTCAACACAATACACGCAATACGTGATACTCCAAATATGACAACCGTGCAGCAGACGTCGCCGGGCTTTAACGTCTCCTAGGGCCAATAGTTCACGCAATATTGCAACACCTGGCTTTACTAAAAGCCGCGTGTTTGACTTGGATGTGTTTGTAGATCCGTCGACAACTGTAAATTAGAATGAATTGCAGCAGCATCGTTGATGTTAAAGTTACTACTGTGTATGCTATATGGTGATCTATCATGACGTTGTTGGGTTTTTTGACGCAAGTAAAATCGGTGTTGTCTTCGCTGGGGAGAATTTTGGTCACTGTCAGTCGATGATTTTAATCCTTATTTACCTATTTGCATTTAATTTTAACTTCTGCTGTTAGCGTAATTTTATTGAAGTGATTGTATACTAGGTAATATGTCTTCAATCTGGCTGGTCGTACCGTGTACTCGTGTACAATTATAGTTAACTTGTAGTGAGTTGCATACACCCCGGGGGATCAAAATGCAGGATAAAACGCATTCTAGTCACGATTACAATAATAAACAAGCAACACTGAATTTATAATTAAATACTAGAAGAAAAATAAATACTGATATAGAAAAGTCGAACTGAGCAGAGATTCTCTAATGTTTGCAGGGTTTCTTCATACACAAAACGTCAATGTGAGTCGATCGTATTGGCCGATAAAATAGGTCTATGGAAATCAAATGTGCCCTCTACCTACTACGTATCAACTATTGCGATTGACATCCATTGCATAATGGGGTTTCATAATTGGTAGTCAAATGTACGTATTTTGTAAAATAGATAACTATTATTTAATCTGCAATTGAGCTATGTATATTGTGGTCATTTCAGCTTAATTTGGGCAACGAATTGAATATGACTTGGAAAGAAAGCACTATGGTTGCATTGATACATCCCACAATTTGGTATATACGGCTCCAACCTACTAACTTATGTCTGCGTCAGTCCGCGTTATTCAATATTCGATACACGATGCATAGATACATCATTCATTGTAATCAACTTAATTAACAATTTTCGTGTTTTCTGTCAACAACCAGCCTACAGTACGGGTCATGGGGCAGACATCGATACCCAAGTACCAACCAATATGTCGTCGGTAAAGACGCTTTGAGTGACTTGCTTGAACGCACATTGAATGTGGTAAACATACCAATGTATTGTTAGCCGTTTGACACGAATGACCTTTGTAAGTGCAATCATTACATTCTGCTAACATTTTACTAGGGAGTAGTCAACCGACGAAAACCGGTAGCAAGAAAATAAACAAAGTTGCGGCAAATTGAGTAAAATGTACACGCTAAGGTAATAATAATCCCCATGAACACAATAACCGCGGACACACCGCCGACTTTCAGCCACGGGATACCAAGTGCTCACAACAATTAAAGCCAGCAGGTACTACCCCAAACCTTTGCACATTAAACTTGAAATAATAGAGAATGACTTTTCCCATTGAGACACACGGATTAGGAAAGGTTAAAGGATAGAAAGTATGTTTTTGTGTAAAACCTTAGATACAAGATATTAATGGTGGAACCGGAGGCGATGTCAATACTTGAAAACAACAAGTAACCGTATATTGTTGTTTTCACGAAATCATGTACGGTGTTGGGTGTTTAGGCTGTCAACAATTGGTTGACGTGAATATCAGCACGTTCAAGTTCAGATTTGTTTCAGTGAAGGTATCGTCCCTTTCGTGTCATATCATGGTGGATTCATCTTTAATATCACTATCATCAGTATTGCCATGCACGTCAAATGATCGTGAATCACAGTTTTGGTTATCTAACCGAATTTCGCAAATAAAACACATACATTATAATTGTATTGAGAGTGAGAAATCCTTCTGGCAGTACCACTCCCACGGCGATTTATTGATTATATCGAACAGCGATTTATTGATTATATCGACATGAATATAAAATAAAACATTATAGTCACTAACCTAAAGAATCATTTTACGAGGAGCGTGTCAAACAAGCAACAGGTGGTTCACAAACACACAACGGATGTGAGTAAAACACAAACGTTTCAATTATTATCGCAGACTCCTCATTTAAAAGCAAGGGTAGGAATCTGACTTTAAATGTGTACCTTGAATAAATATATTGACATTTGACAAAGGGAACTGGGCTACTTATGGGCCCACTTGTGTCAAATTATAAGTAACTTTAGTATGTGTTTATTTGTTATGTGCTGAAGTTGCAGTACCTTGAACTCTCGTCTTTCATGACTCAACTCGACAACTAAATCTATGCGTGATTTGATGTACGCCACCCTCTCGTAATCTTCAGTCCAGTTCAACCAGACTTGGTGTTTGACCAGTATAATATACTGTGCGGTGAATTTTGTTTGGGGCCGCAAAGAGTGAATTTCAAACTAAAAACAAAATTCTTTGGGGGGGAATGACAGAATATATTTTCAAAAACCCATACATTTAATAGAGGGGTGCAAGAATAATATACAGCGACATATCGTTAAATAAATCTAGCACAGTTGTTCCACCATCTTGTCTCCCCATAAGCCATACTGTCCAACCCCTCTAAATGAAGTCATTCGCCGTAAATCTTTACAATTCAATAAGATCGTGACGTGATATGTTATCTCGCGAGAGCTATAACCGTCGCCTATGATTAGAAATCAAACACGGCATCAGTGTTGTGACAAGTTGTTGCCATGGTTGTTTAAATATGTTATCATTAGCCAGTAAGTAGAATCGAGATGGATGGTTAATATTTATAACAGCAGCGTACAAGTAATAATTTTAAAGATATCAGGACAGCCGTGTAATTAAATTACCCGAGTACAATCTGGTGATTATGTGTTAAATTTCTCGTAATTGTTTTATTTCTATGGACAACCGAATTTCGTGATTGACACCCATTGCACCATGGGTTTGCTTTGATAATGTATAGATTGAAGTGTATTCTTGCTGAAATTGCCGGATACTTTCCTTGGTTATATAAAAGTTCAGATTCAATTTGGTGAACCAAATTACCAACTGAATGACTTGGCTATTTCAGCTACAGTATACTAAGTCAGTTCCCAAAGATTCATAATCACAAAACTTATGGTTTTACAGTGAGTAATAACCGATATTGCCCATCATTACTGATAAATTATAATCCATACGTTGAACAACATAGAATTTTACAACTATGTTATATACCATGATACATACAAGCATCATGTTTATATCTCGGACAATCGAGCAGCGCATAGGAGATTACAAGTAATCTGCGTAACCGATTACAGCCGAGTAGTTCTATGCGCACGACATTTGACAATGGCACAGGAAAACATTAAATAAACATTACATTTTTTCAGTTTAGTGGATTTGAGCATCCGGTTGTAGAATAGTTCCGATTGTAAAGTGTAAACACATAGTTTAAACTTGATCGACATGTACGGTGACTTGAAAAAGGCGTTTTTTCGCCATATTCTTTCATATTTTTCAATCCATGCAATACTAAGCCAACATTGCCCTCGTTGCACAAAATGAATACACACGCCACGTGAAAAAACCTACTATTAAGCTGGGAAATGGATTTTCTTTCCAACTAAAATTAATTGTCAATCTGTCTAAATGTTGGTTATGTCTGCTTAACATGAAAAAAGATGGCGCTGAACTAAATATAGTTTGATTTGATATCACAAAAATCATGTTTGGGCTCATTACATGGATTATACAATTATGAAAAAAGGTAGTTGGTGACCTTTTAAACACTACACGTAGCTGACGTCCACACGTAAACATTCTGACAGCACTGGTAACACCCGATGGCTGGAATTACCGTGCATTGTATTTGTTTACACCACTAAACTACACACAGTACCTCTCGAGTATTTTCACAGATTTCACTGGAAGCGAAACGTGTTTTTCTTTCAGCGTGGCCGTGTAGACGGTGGTGATGGTGGTATGGCAGGCACGGAGCTATGAATTTATTGCAATGCTGTCGCATTATCCAAATCTGGTTGGTTATTTATTACATTTTAGAATCGAACAAATATCGGCAGACTACATTATTTGGACAACCCACTACAATTTATAAACTGCCGATACGCCCTTCTTGTCGCCTTAGGTAACTAACGATAATGTCCCTTTTCCGAAACGAAGATCACGTGACGAATGGACTCATTTCTTATACAAAGGTCGTATAACATGAATGACGAGAACTCCTTTAAGAATTACAAATTAATACATCAAACCCACCAGCAAAAGAACTAACTCGCCTTCCGAATTCAACTTGAAAGAATCTCGGTCAATTTAAGCTACACGTGAGTTTCCGCGTCTCTGTGTCTCTATGGTTACGCGCGTTATAAAACATCAATATCATCAAATTATCTGTCGTGACGTAAATGACAGAGTAACCTAGCTGTTTAGAATACTTTCTTTCTGACGCAGTATCATATTAGAGTGATTTATGACGAACTTAAACGTCATTTTTGCTGTGTGCACGTATAAAATAAACATGCTGGACGGTTGATCGACAAAATAATGTCTCCCATTGAAGAATTGTATTGTTAATTAGTTGATTGCATTCGTTATATCAGTATTGTTGTGAGTAGTTAAGCGAGCACACGTGAATCAAGAAGTAGTTATTTTGGTAGTTTTCACATTGATTGAAATCCGGACTAAATGATTGCGATTTAGAAATTGAATACAATGATTCATATAAATTTGTAATTGATTCAATCGATATAAATAATATATATGAGATCAGCGTTCAAATTACAGGACAACTAATTGTCCTCTATTCATAAACATTTACGTTTTCCTCCCTTTTTCTCGGACTCTCTCACTGCTCGTAACCACTAAACTATTCCGTGACAGAGAACAAAATCGTTGTTTAAATTTAACTACCTATGTACAAAAGGATGATTTATGTTGAACATACAAGTAGTCGATGATTGCATAATTCATGACATTAATTCAGGCACAGGGATAGAGAGACTGTGATTCAGGCAATAGTTGAGACGTTACCGTGGACGTTGGAAATAAATAGGAAGTTTGTTTTCTTTCTTTATACTACCTAGAGTTTTTTTCTCTCTAGGCTGTCTGCGGTTTCATCCCCTCCCATCTCCTTTCCTCCCCAATATAAATAATTGTGCAAAATTATCATTGGTGAGATTTACTTGATGACTTCCAATCAATTTCCACACAGATGGCTACCAACATTAATATGGCTATGTAAACACATTCTTTTTCTTTCAGGGCGAAAACCCAATGTTCAGCAAGTTCAGTACACGACCCTAACATTCGTAACCGCACACTGTTTTGACGGCGATACCATATGAAAGTCGGCACTATGAATACATACTCTTGGTTTAACCATACATTGTTTCACTCGTTCCTTTTCCCACCACAGAAATGCGAGCACCCCTATCGAGTAACTCGCCTGGTATTATCTTTGCAACCCGACGCCATGATGGACAGCATGGCCGGTTGCCAGGCTCGAATTCTTCAACATGCCATGGTATGTTGTCATATAGGAAAAACGCCGTAATCCATGTAAACTACGTAATGTCGACAAATCAACCTAAAAGTCGTAATTCCCATCAGTAAATCAGCGAATGATATATGTTGCCTTTGTGTGTATGTGTAAGAAAGAACACCATTTGGGAGATGCCCCACGGTAACCTCGAATTGAATGTACTCGCGGGATTTGCATCATTTGCGTCATTAGATAGCCGCAACGTATTGTTTGGTGGTAGTCCTTCTATTGCTACGGCCTTGAATAGAAACAACACTACAGGCACGCTGGGGTAAAACATGTATAGCCAACTTTGTTATTATCACAAACCTTGTTAATCACGGATACACATAAAGCTTCTTTTAACGAGCGAGAATAAAACTACTAGTGGACAAAGTGTGAAATAAAACTTGGGCGTTCGCCCTTTATGGTTTGTGATTTAAACTTCCTCGGGGGACATCTACGTACAACACGGTACGGATTTGCGTGGCCATGTCAGCTTATTGGGTCAGACGGAGACTACACAATTCCATATATTTTTACAACAATATGATTACAGCACATGCATTCAGAGTAAGAAGAATTGAAAAGCACAGTGTCCTATTCTAATTTAAAATAAAGTACCAGTGTAATAACCTTTGAAAATAAATCTAATAATACATAAACAATACACACTCTTTCCCATAAAAAGTGAGAATTCTTTATTTAAAGAGAATAAGCTAATCCCCTTGGTTGAATCGTTTCAATGTCATGGCATTATTGTTTTAAAGGGGGTTTTCAAACACTTACCGCAACTGAGGGATGTATGGGAGGTAGTCGTTCTACGTCGTTCAGTGACGTTCGCAGTAACAAATCGGTTAGCGAGTTAGTGCTGCCATAATGGCTATGTGAGCGGCGTAAAATATCTGCGAAGACAAAACAATATTGTATTGCTAATAATATCGGTAATACAACACAATCTGGTTAGTTATGTCTGTCGATCAGTTGAAACGAATGTGCTATTCGATATTTGGAGGTGACCCCCTGTGGGGTTAGAGATAACAAAGTTATCTGTCGCAATCACTAAAGGGTATCGTAAACAACAAGGTGTTTGTGCATTGTCATCGATCTATTCATCTGTCAATTGACAGGGGCGACGGTATCAAACAATGTCATCAGGTATGGGGGAGCAAAATAAGCCCCATTTTGCATGCATGTGTCAATTAATGTTGATATTCATTTAATGGCATGTCCCGATATCTACGAATAAAATGTCTTTCCCATCAACTATTTTCTCCCGTCTCTGTTTTGTTTATTTCACTGCTAACATGATGTTATATACTAAAGTTTGCAGTGAATATCACATCGACGTTACAAGGTTAATAAAAAACGAGGCACAAAATTACGCGCCATTGTAGTATATTGTGTTCCCTCTAAGAATTACAGAACATAAACATCGTCACAAAATGCCATGTTAGATTCGTAGTTGCTGCGTCAAAATGCTCAAAATAAAAACGGTTTCCCTGAACAAAATGTGTTGACATGGCACGGTCATTTCTGCTCAAATCCACATTATTTTCTCTTCGAAATTTCATATCGTGACATAGTTCTGAACCATTACAGTTATTTTCAATTTGATCGTACATACAGTGATTTAAAAAGAAAACAATAAAGGACCAACTATGATCATCGCCACGACTCGATGCGTCCACTACTCAAGATTAATGTACCGAATACAGCAATTCAGAGTTATCAGACTTTGGACGCAAGGTGCTCTAATCTTAAAATGGTGGCGGCGTGAGCTGTAAACCAGGTGAGGTCGTGTTTCGCTGTATCTATGGAGTACAGTAACAGTTCTGACTAACCTGCTATTTCAGGTAGCTGAGAAACGACGGCATCTACGATGTGTTGGTGTTCACGGTTAACTACGGGAACCAGAGCTGAAGCCGAGTCATACCGAGGTTTGGAAGCAATAGGTGGTAAAACAAGTGTGCCAGAATCAGCCATTTTCGTCGTCGGCAATATTATAGTCCATTCTACAGGGCAAGAACAGGTATGTCCATTGCGACTACCTAGGGGTAGAACACTATCTACTGTGATCAAGTGTCTACTATCGTTACGTCTGAATCAGTTTACATTCGCCTTTTGTTTGTCCACCACACTCTCTTCTACACACATATCCAAGACAGTATTGTGTGGCCGTCACGTGACTGATAATGAACAATTGTAGTCAAGAGGGCTTTTGTATTCATTAAGGGGTATGCCAGAAGACGAGTTATAGTTGCCGGAGGGCATTTGGTAACAATCAACGTTTTTCTTCATCTTAATAGTCCTTTAATGCTTGGAACGTAAGCGATGTTCAGTTGAACTCCGACTTCCTGACACTTTAAAACGCACCCCGATGCAGTGTATGGGAATATTGATACATATTAAGCTCACATAGACGGGATGACATGGACATCGGTGATTGAGCCACCTTCCCATGCGACAGAATGGAATGATCCGCTATCCGGATGCAAAGCTATCGATCGCGTGTGCTATGAAACCAAGTCAGTATTCTAAATAGTATGACAGTAGCTTTACCAAATGACTAATAACACATTATATAATAGTTTTTTTTTCTAATATAACTAAATCAATCTTTTTTTTTCAAATTAATATCCTGAGTGCAACTATACTGGTATCACAGTTAATCGCACGTTACAAAGGCACCAGTATTAAACTGATTTACTCTCAAAATGAAATATTGATGAATTCCGTGTTGCCGCAAGCCACTAGTTGCTGATCGTAATTCAGCGGTAATATCGCTCTATGAGGCCAAATTTCCACGTTTAAATCGATGATTTAACTTCGCACCTGGGCTTCGCTTGCAACTCAAAACAACATATCGTATTGTTAGCGTGTTCAGATCTGTTTTCTGTACCCATTTACGCCGGCGTAAGAGGACAACCGGCGTTTTCAAGTTACGCCATCAAAAATGGACATAAAAAGCAGAGCTGAAACCCGCATGGAGTTCAGCACTGGCGCAACTATTATGCAACACTTACGTTGACATAAAAACAGATGTGAGCACCGTGACAAAACCGGCCATCACCCGGCGAACATCCGCTGTAGCCTTGTAAGTGAGTGTAAGTCATTGTATTTTGGTGCTATGGTCAGCTGTATTCACCTATGCTTAATTTAAAAGTCGGTACTCACCATAAGTGTCGATTTTTAAGAAAATTTTTGGTTATTTGGATCTGTGTATAATTGTTGAATTTTCTGCTTGGTTTGAACAAATTTATACGTAAGGCGTTTATTATAATGAGATTTAAAATGGACAATAGTTGTGAACCATTGATACTCAATTGCGTCAAAGACATAAATATTAAAAATGCGGGTCAGCACCAGTGTGCATCGGCGGACACCACATTTACATCACTTGTAATAATAATACAAAGAGATTACGAGATCTTATCTTACGCACCGGGTGCAACTTACGCCGGTGAAACTCAAGGCTGTCTATTAAGGACATACTATATACTAGTATTAGATTAAAGTATTTTATTTTAATGGAAGAGAAGTGAAATTAATATTCTATATACGTCAATATTGATAAGTGAGGTTTTATAACGGGTGTACTATTTCACTGAATGTCTCTTAACACACATAAGTCGAATTTAGTAATACAGCTGTGTATATACATAATACTATGATCTACTATAATGGTGGTGGGTGTTTTGATATTTATAAAACTCTGCATGTTATCAAAACAGGGGGTAAATTTGTATTTCAAAATCAGTAGAAAGGGGCTGCATTTGATTTACTCGTATGGCTAACTATATCCGGGCATGCACACATACAGCGGGTGCGTATGTGTAAGTACCTTTAATGTCCGATTCAAACGACCTGTTGCCAGGGTCTAGTATACAACTTGACATGGCCGTCACTGGTTGCACAGACAAGACAGTTGAGGGGTAATCGTACGTAGCGTGTGTAGTCAGGCGACGACGTAATTACTCCTTTGTGTTAAGTTGTGAATCGAACAACACACTATGCGATTAACGCTTTATAGAAAGCCTGGTCAGGGAATATGCCGCATTTAGGCCCACACGATTTATAGGCATATCGACTAGGCGGTCAACCTCGTCTGCGTATTGTAGTGCGTACCGCGATTCAATAGTTTATTGACACTGCGTTGATACAAGTGCACTGAAGCTGCCTTATATTGGATTAATTCCCATGTTCACTGTTTGTACCATTAACCCTACCCTTGACCAGTCTTAGCCCCAGGAGAAGATAATGCATCACGATTCCTTGGAGAGATTGTATTCATTATTTCAAAGATCTTGTTAATAAATTGAAAGTAGAGAGATTGTAAACTGGTGTACGTCTAGAGATGTACTTAAAGAGACCGATAACACGAATCTGTTAGAATATGTCAATACTGAGGGCAGTGGTAATAATGTGCATTTTAGAAATCACCCCAATAATGCTAGAGCGCATAAAGTCACTTTTGTACTATAAACTCAATTGGACACTGGCCGTTTCCCCGTTATCTAAAATATCGGTAATCGACAAGAAACATCCTCTAGTTAATATCGATGACAATAATTACACCATTCAATCGATCAGTTAATTAATTAATTAAAATGAAACGCACACAAAAAATACGACTAAACCTAGCCGCGAAGTCTCAATCGTCACTACTAGACTGAGCAATAGTCTATTCTCAGCTGAGAAAACACAATGGATCACATACCCGACTATTTGCGCATGTTCCTATGTCATTACTAAATTCAAAAGGAATTCAGAAACAGTGGCTTGAGTACAAGGGATATCACTGAATAGAATGATGCATTTAATTCAGGCTAGCATACGTGAAAAATGACCTTAAAATAAGAAACACTTCTGCTCTATGGATACTTTAAATAAAAATGGACAATGAATTAAAGCAAACAGATCATGAAATGATTGAAATGCATTCCGATCACACCATGTAAGGTACAAGATAATCGTATCTATACGCCAAGTTCCAAACTCATTAGTCGATAGGTACCATGTGACCTCCAACGAGACACATTTAAATAAGGTTTATATGTGACCTGTAATATTTTGTATAATTGTGTTCAACAGAATC